AAATCGTTATTTTTAATATTCTTATTTTAACAATTATTTATTATTAAGTTAAGTATATTTAATATTATTATACTTAATATTTATTTTAAATTATTACTTATTTAAAAATTAACATTTAACGTTTATTATTTAATTTTCTTTATTTTTTTATTAATAGTAATTTTTATATTCTTATTTATATAATAATTTATATCATATATATATAGAAATAAATCAAATTTTATATATTTTAATTATTTATAAATTAATTTTTAATTTATTATAACATTAAAATAATTTTCTTTAAAAAATAAAAAAAAATATTTAATCTTATTTAAAAAGAAATTAAGATATATTTTATTATATAATAAATTTATTTAATAAAAAAATAAAATGTCTGATTGGCATACAAATTTTCAAAAAAGAATAATAATAGATAATGGTTCTTGGGAAATTAGATTAGGTAATGCAACAAATTAAAATCCAATGATACTATAATAAAATTTACTTGGTAAATAATATACGAAATAAAAATCATAATAAATAAATAATAAGGTATTGAAAAAAAACAGGAAATTTATTATATGGTGAATAATTAAATAATTATCTTGACGAAAGTAATTTAATATATATAAAGCCTTAAGTTAGAGGAGTAACAGTGGATTGGGATCATGAGATTCATTTATTAGAAAAAATGTAAATAAATACAAATATATATATATATATATATATATATATATATATATATATACAAATTTTTATAAATATATATATATATATAATAATAGGTTAGATGATTTAACAGGTTTCGAATAAAAATAAAACGAACTAGCCAGTTATTCAATAAGTTATATATATAATCCTTGTATGCCTGAAAAAGTTAGATAAAGAATAATTGAAACATGTTTCGAATATTTTGGTTTTGATGCTATATATCCTGCCTTATCTTAGAAAATGTCTTAAATTTTTTTTAAACACAATTATCCAAATAAACTTAGTGATTAATTTTAATTACTTATTGAAATAGGACATTCAGCAACTTATTTTGTCCCTTTTTTTGATGATGAAGTAGTTAATTATGGCATAAAAAGACTAGATATTGGTATATATATATATATATATATATATATATATATATATATATATATATATATATATATTATAATTTATTTAAATATAATATATATATTAGGAGGTAAATTGTTAAGTAATCATTTGAAAGATATAATTACTTGCAGATATATTTAATTAAATAATGATTTTCGAATGGTTTCTTAAATAAAAAATGAAATGTGTTTTGTTTCTTAAGATTTCATTAAAGATATGAAAATGAAGTTAGCATATATAAATAAAATTTATTTAATAAAAAAAAGGAAAAATACTTTTCAAAAATTTTTTATTTTACCGGATTATGATACCGGAAAATAAGGATATGTAATTGAAAATTACGATAATTGTATGAACAAAAATATATATATATTTTATAAATAAATAAAAATTAAAAGAATCTAATTAAGAAGTACTTGCACTCGATAAAGAAAGATTCACCATACCTGAATTACTTTTCTATCCTTCAGATATTGGTATTATATAAATATATATAAATATATTGAAATATTTTAAAAAAGGACTAAATTAAAATGGAATTTCTTAAGGAATTTTTAATGTCGTAAAAGAATTAAATATAGATTTAAGGGAATACTTTTTAGAAAATATAATTTTAACAGGAGGTTCATCAAATTTTCAAGGATTAAGTGAAAGATTGTAAATAATAAACATGTTTATAATATTTAATATAAAAAAAATATATATATTCAGATAAAATGAAATAATATAAAATACACCTGAATATCTATAAAATAAGTTAATCCATATAAAAGAATAATATCCATCATTTAAAGGTTGTTAAATATTAGCTTAATCTGAAAACTTCTAAAATATAGTAATGAATAGAAATGATTATAAAGAATATGGTTTCGAAAAATTAAATTCTGTATATTTTAATTGAAATGTATATTAATATAAAAAAAACAACTTTTGATTGTTTGTTTAAAAATATATATATATATATATATATATATATATATATATATATATATATATATATATAATTATTTTATTTATTTTTCATATATTCTTCCATAAATACTATATATTTTCCAATTAAAATATTAATTTAATAGCTTCTGTAAAATCATCAACTACATACCTAGCTGGGTATATTGGATCATTTTCATCTCCTTAAAAGACTCCTGTTCTTACTAAAATAGATACCCATCCTATATTATTAGCTCCTCTAATATCTGTATGTGGATTATCTCCGATCATATAATATTATGAAATTTCATGATTTTCATCTACATATTATTTCCCATGTTCCTAAGCGAATTCAAAGTGATGAATTTCTGGTTTCCCATACATATTAATATCTAATTCTCTTTTATAAATCCCTTTATAAACAGCCTTTAAAGCCATAACAAATCCTCCACAAATAATTCTTGGAAGTAAATAAGGACTTTTTACTAGTAAATCTCCATAACTACAAAATATAGGAATATGCTTTTCTGGACCAATTTCAGGTATTTAATTTGCTATTTTACCATTTTCAGTTGAAAGTAAGTCTAAAATAATTTAAATAGCTTCCTCCCATTATTTAGGATTAGCCATAATAAAAATTCCATGACATTATAGAGGTTGTCCTATTTCATCATCTTTTAATCCTAATCTATCTTTGACAATTTAGCTCTTTTTTTGAATATGTTCTTTAGTTCGTCTTGATTATTATACACAAAAAGGAGTAATAGTAATATATTCTTCCACAGTAATATAATTAGTGTATCCGGCTTCTTGAATTATTTCTGTTCCATCCCTTATTCCTTATTCATCTGCTTATCCTGTAACTAATAAAATTAATTTATCTTTAAAATCTTTTAATTTGTCAACTAGAGCTGCATAGTTTAGTATCACATCTTTAGGTTCTAACATTTCTTCTTTCGAATTTAAATTAAAAGCCTCATTTACTTAAATTATTTAACTTTAAGTTGTTATATTTCCTCTATTTGTTAGTAAATAAAAAGGAAGTTTAATATTATCATCTGGAAAATTCTAACTATCAATTTCATTTAAAGGTTTTCGGATAACTTTAAGGCCATTAATAGCCTAAGGAATTGCAGAATTTTATAATTTTAAAACTCCGTCTATATCAGAAACTATTACAGGTACTTTTTTTTTATTCATTATAGTATACTAAGATAAAAGTATTTTAAATAATTATTAAAATATTATAAAAATATTTTTTATATTATTAAATAATTTTTATTTTAAAATATTATTTAATAACAATATTTATTCTAAAATTATAAATAGCTGAATTAATTATTTATTCGATTGTTAAAATTTTTTATAAAAAATATATATATATATAAATTTATATAAATTATATATATTTATTTTATTTTTTTATATATTTATATATACATATTTATTAATTTTTACTAATAATAAACCTTTTTTTACTATAATTTAACTTATTTTTTATTCTTATTATATTTTTATTTTTTTTATATAATAGTTATAATAAATTTTTTAATTATAATCTTAATTTAATTTAAATGTATTACTTATAAATTATAATTCTATCTTATAATAATTTATTTTTTATACAATAAAATTTATTTAGCATTTATTAAAAGAATATAAATTAAAATTATTATTAATAATTTTATAAATATATATTTAAGAATTAAAATAATCATTTTATTTATATCTGGCTTAATATAACATTATTTTACTATTTATATCTTATATATTATATTTTTTGAACTCTCTTATAACATCCTTAATTTTTTTTATAATTGCATTTAAATAATATAATCTTAATAATGTTTTGATCGAATTATATCCGTTTTCTTTTTATAATTTTTCTTTCATATCATTATATTTTGTTATATAATAAATTCTTATTTCTTATAAACAACCTTTAATATCTATTCTAGCTATTTAAAAAGTTAGAAATTCATTATAGTGAAATCTAAAGAAAATTGTTTATTTTTTTATCTTTTTTTTCTTGTCCTTTATCTAATCTTTATTTTGCAATTTTTTTTAATAAATTTTTTAAATTTGTTAAATTAATTTGTTTAAAAGTTGAACTTTTTGATGTCCCAATTCATATAAGAATTTTTCAAAAGATTAATACTAGTATTTTTTAAATTAAAAATATATAGTACTAATTAAATAAGAAAGAGATTAATTAAATTATTTTTTTTCTATATAATTTTTATTATTCAAAATTACTACTAAAAAAAGATTTAGACAACAACTTCAGCTGAGATTTCTTAAAAAAGTTCATATTTAAATAAATATCTTTTAATTAATTTTCCCTTATTATATTCAAAAATTTTTATTGTTTATTATATTTATAATTTTTATGTGATTCTTTAATATAAGAAATCAAAATTGAAAAATATTAATTCTACATTTATTTTATTATTAGATTTGTAAAAGAAATAAAAAGATTATAATCATAATATTTTTTTTTTCTACATTAAGATTTATCATCTATAAAATTTAAATAAATTAAGAGATATTTTAAATATATAAATTCAAGATTTTTTTTTTTTTAAATATTTATATAAAAAAAGTAAAGAATATATGTTAAGTATTTTATTTTTCTATCCTTTTATTTAAAAAATTGATGAATTTGTATAAAATTTAGACAACTTAGTTTGTTTTAGAATATTAATTAATATTATATAATTATATAAAATATATTAATTATAATCGACATATATATATTATAAATTAATTTTTTTATAAATAAATTTAAATAAAAATATAAAACTTTTAAAAGTTTATAATTATAAATTTAATAATTCTATAAATTCTATATAAAATTTAAATTTAAAAAAATAAAAAATAAAATAATTAAAGATATAAAAAATAATTAAATTAAATTAAAATCATTTAATAATTTATTTAATATTAATATTTTTAAAAAAAATAAATAAAAAAACATAATTTTTTGTTACAAAAAAATAACTTTATAGAATTTTAATTAAATTAACAAAATACAAAAATTTATTTCTGTTAATTAATTGTTAAATTTAATTATAAAAATTTAAAATTAAATATATTTGTTTTATAAAATAAATAAAATAAAATTTAAAAATAAAAATAATACAAATAATATATATGTAAAATTAAATAAAAATAAATATATATATATATATATATATATATATATATATAAATATATATCTATTTATTTTTTTCAAATTTTTTTAAAGTTATTATTTGCTTATATATTATTTAATATTTAAATTACATCATTAATTTCATTTTCAATACTTTTTCTTATTTTATATTTAAATTATTTAATAATAATAATAATATATATTTACTTTTAAAATTAACTTTTATTTTGTTTTTATTATTTTATAGTTTCTTATTTTTTATCTATTTATACTATGTTTTTATTCTACCAACTATTTCTATTAATTTATTACTTATTATTTTTATTAGTTATTTTATTAAGCTATTTAGGGATACTTTTAATTATATTCTTTTATTAAATTTATAATTCTAATGTTTATTCATTGTTTTTATTATTATTATTGATTTAATTCTTATTTTGCAATTTATTTTCGCTTTCAGCTTTACTATTTAAATTTGAACTATTAATTATTTTTTTTTCACTATTTAAAATGCTCTATAGTGTAAATTATTACTCAGTATCACTAATTTCATTAAAATATTTATTATTTTAAAAATCAAAGTAGTTTTTTTTTCTTTTTAATTAAAAAAAATTAAAATAAATAATAAGTATATATATATAAAAAAACTTATTTTAAGGAGATAAAAATTATCTATTGGACTTAATATTTTTAGTAATACTTGTTTATAATTTTTAGATATTTGTATCATTATTTTTATTATTGTCATTATTTAAAATATTAATAGAACTCAATTTTATTAATTGTTAAGTTTCAAATTTATTGTTTCTATCAAAAACATCTTAAAATATTTAACTTTAGACAATATCCTATTAATCTGAAATTAATCTTTTTTCAAAGTTTGATTTTTTGTTAGAATTTATGTTATTTTAAATTTTTTAATTAACAAAATCTTATTTTTTTCGGAACTTTTAACTTGACTTTTAATTTTTAGTTTTTAAAAAATTCCTTAGTATGTTTAACTTTTTTAATCACTTAAAACCGAATTATTCGTTTAAAAAAGTGTCTATTAACTTTTATCAATATGTTGTGTTTGTGTTTAATTATTTTATTTTTTTAATTCAAATATATTTAATTATAAGCTTTTATTTTATTAAATTTATTTTTTAGATTTTTTTAATTTTTATTCAATTTCATTTTTTTTGTATTATTAACTTTATGAATTTTTTTTTTCATTTTTTTATATTTATTCATTTAATATTAATTTATCTATTATTTTTACTTATTACTAGGTAATTTTTAATTTTTTTAAAAATTATTAAGAGGAATTTATTTATTAATTTTATTTTTCACTTATTAATGATTATTATATTGAATTTTCTTATTTTTAATCCGATCTAAATGAAAATTAGTTTTTAAGTTTTTGTTTTTAATATTTTTTATTATTATTATTCTTTATTATATTATTAAAAATTTTTTATTTTTCATTTAAATATAATTTGTCTTTTTTTAAATTTTATAATGGGGTTTTTAACTTATTTTATAAAGGACTTTTCATAAAAAATTTTTAAGGACTTTTTATCTAATTTTTTTAATGACTTTTTATTTGTGTTTTCTAAGGATTTTTTATTTGATTTTATTTATTTTATTAAGGACTTTTTATTTTATTATTTTATTATTCTAATTTAGGAGTTTCTAATACTATATTTTCATTTACTAAAATAAAACTCGGGATATTTTGAGAAACATTTTCTGAATTTCGATTTTATTTTTAAAAATTTAACTTTTCTTTATTTCCTGAATTGCCTATTTTATCATATTTTTATATTTTTTATTATAAATCCTATTGAATATCTTAAATAATTAAAGCTTATTAACTCAAGTCTTTTTGAATTTCAGGAATATATGTTTATTAATCTATTTATTATGAAAAATACTCTGTAATTTTTTATTACTTAGCTAAAATCTAGTCTATTTTGCCATTTTCCAACTATTAATTTCCACTTAAATTTTCTTTCAAATTTTAATCAAAATTTACATCTATGAAGTCTTTAAAAATCGGATTTATACAATTAAGAAGATCTTCCTTTATTTAACTTTACAGCCCAAAATTAAAATCCAACTGACCTTAGTTTTGCTCCAAAGGCTTGCTAATATTAGAATCTAATTAAAACTATTTTTATTCTTTTTGAAAATCCTAACTATATACATCATTATAGTTATAATTTATTTAATGTTATAATTAAAAATCGTAATTAGTCAATTTATTTTTTTCATCCATGGAATTCAAGTTATAAATTTCTAATTCTTTTTATTAAAAATCAGTACTTTATATATCATATTTATTATAATTTATTATATTATCTTAATTATTTTAATTATAAATATTAATTTCTATTCCTTTTTAATTATTATTATCTTCATATTTAGTTTCTAAATATTAAAATTGTGTATTTTCTTATTATTAATTATTGGATTACGGATATTTATATTCTTCTGTTTAATAATTTATGTATTCTTAATTACTTTATAATTGATTTTGTTCTTACATTTTCCTTTAGTTAATTTCCTAAATTATTTAATTAACTTTACTTTCTATTTCACTATTATATTCATAAACTTTATTTGATTATTATTATGGTAAATAAGTTTATTCTATTTAATTTTAATCATAATATTAATACATTTTATTTTTAAAAATAATAATAAAAAAAAAAATTATTAAATTTTTTTTTTTAATTTTATAATACAATTAATGAGAAAAAAAAAGAAAAGAAATAAAAAATGATAATAAAAATATATTTAAAAAATAAAATAAAAATATATATATATATATAAAGGCTAAAACTATTTTTTTTTAAAAAAAAAACATAATAGAATAAATATATATATATATATACATAAATAAATATATAATTATATAAAAATAAATATATTTATGTATATATTTATATTTTTTTTCTATCACTTAATTTGGATAATTTTATTTTCAAATTATTTGTTATCATCTTCATTCACTTATTAATAATTATTATTTACATGTTTATTATCTGATTACAATCCATTAGAATTATCACTTAGTTTTTATTTACTTATTAAATTATTATTTTAATTATTATTATTAACTATAGTACTTATATTATTATTATTATTAACATTAATATTATTAGTTTAGGAATTATCATCTGTATTATTATTATTCTATGAGCTTTGAGTCTCAACTTTCTTTTTCTTCTAGAAAATCTTAATATTTTTATATCCTTAATATCCTCCTCCTATACTTAAATATAGTACCAAAACAATAACACTTACTAACGCAAACACTCTGCAAATTTTCTAAAACCTAAAAATTTCCTCCCCTTAAAATGTATCTAGCATAAGTCCTCCAAAAGTTGGTCCAATAAAAATACCCAAAGAATATCCTCCCACAAAAATGCCAGCTGCCATATCAGAACAAGCCCTAATTAATTTCATATCAGGTTAAATTTATTTCCTAATCTTCAATTCATTCTTTAATATAAGTTCTACAAATTCCTGTATTATAGGAATAACACACATAGCCATAGCTGCCCCAATAATGCATTGTCCAATAGTTACTAAATACCACTATTTTTTCTATATTGAAAATCCTAAATACTCCTCAGCGCCCATAATAAGGCATCCAATCGTACACATAAGTAATCCTATAGACAAAATGACTTTTTTATCGAAAACTTTACTCATTTAAGGTATTATATATAAGAAAATCATATAAGATAAAGCTCCTAATGAAAAAAGATACCCATTATAAGACTTAGATAGTCCCAATTAATCCATATGTCCTGAATATAATGGGTTTATATAAGAAGTGCTAGTAGAAGCGGTTACAACAAGAAAAAAAGTTAAAAGAACATTACAGTTTTTCATACAAGTTAATGAAGATACATAATCTATTTCTTTTTTATTTTTCTAGTCTTTCGGTAGCCATCTAATTGTATAACTCATTATTATAAATAATAAACCGAAAAAATAAAAAGGCATTTAATATCCCATAGAATCGCTATATAAGGAAATCAAATTATTTAATGCTTATCCTACCACAGGACCTAATAAAAGTCCTATAGCAGTTAAAGTTTCCATTATAGCTAATTTCTATTAAACTCTTAAAAAATATATATATATATATATAAAAAGATTAACTTTATTTACGTATTTGGCCATAATTAAGGTACATATCCAAAAGTTACAGATACATAAGCTGAACGAGATGCTCCTTATATAAATCTTGTTACCATAGATACTATTATAAATGTAGTTTTATCATTTATGTAATAAATTAGCCCGAAAGTTACTACAGTTAGAACTTATACTAGCATAGACCAAAACATAATTTATTTTTTTCCTAATCTTTCCATCATACTTCCAATATAAAAAGATATTAAGAAACTTCCTACAGGGTTCATGGAAAATACTAAACCAGTAATTGTGGCGTTTACTCCTCTTATTGTAGCAATAGTAGGATAGAATGGAACTATTAGGGACACTGTGGCATTTAGAAAAAAGTTTAGGAGACTCAAAAATAATAAATTACGATCTATTCCTAATATTTTAATTACTTTATCTTAATTAAGTAAAGGTTCTTACATTTTTTGTTTTAAATATATTTGAAAAATTTAAATACAATTTTATTTTGTTTATTATATTATTTATTTAGTGTCTTTTATTTAATTATTATATAATTTTAGGAAATAATAAAAAAAATAATTAAAATAATAAAAAAAAATATTTTTAATAATTTTTTTTTTCATTATTCATCTTTTTATTTTCTTAATCCAACAATTATATTTTCATATTCCTTTATTATAATATTTCTTTTATAAATGTATATATATTATTTAAATTTAAATAGTATTTTTACTCTTTTTATGTAGTTATTGTAATTACAGGATCTTAATCTTCTAAATTCATTTTTAATTACTTTACATTGTCACTAATATATTTTATATATGGAATTGATTCTTCTTGGAAATTGTTTTCTTTAAATATTTTTATTAAATACTTTTTTTATATATAAATACAATTTAAACACAATCCATTTTTATCTAAGACTGCTAATCCACTTATTTAATCATTTTATTTTCTTATTTTTATTTTTAATATATTAATTTAAATTAATTGCAAACTTTAATATTTACTAAAAATCTTATATTAAAATATTTAATTAATTTTCCATTTTTAATATTTTAATTTATATAAATTTTTTTATTTATATAAAAATAAAAAAAATAAGTCTATTAATTTATTATTTTTTTTAAAAAAAATATAATTTTTAAAATTATATAATAATCAATTACAAATTATATATATATATATATTTTAAATAAAAAATGTCATTAAATATCTAACAATAAATTAAAAATAATGCAAGTGATATAAGAAAATATGTTACGGATTTATATGATTGGGAAGAAGAAATGGAAAAAAAAGAAAAAAATTATAAAAAAGTAAAAAAGAAACAAAAATATATTTTCAAAAAAAAAAAAAGTAAGCTTAAACATAAAAGCAATTACCATAACCCAGACAAGTATAAAATGAAGAATAATAATCAAAAGATAAATAAAACAGTTAAACCACAAATAAAGTATATAAAAGGGATTAAAATACAGTATAAGACTATTATAAAGCATGGGATAAATTTGATATTGTAACAAAAAAACGAATATAAATAAATATAAATATATATAAATATATATATATATATATATATATATATATATATATATATATATATTGTATATTGTATATTTGATAAAAAAAGGATAAAGAAATAGAAATTATTGAAGAATAAGAAAAATTAGAAAGTTTAAATAAAACGGAAAATCCATATTAAAACATGAATACATAAATAAAATCTAAAGCTGCTCCAAGATCATAAATAAAAATATGTAATATGAGAAAACAAATAACAGATGTAAATTCATTAAAAGATAAAGTAAAAAAAAAATATATATATATATATATATATGTATATATATATATATATATATATATATATATATATAATTTTATATTTTTTTATTTAAACGTTTATATTTATATTAAATAGGCAAATTTATATTATTAAAGTTCTGAATATAAAAAAGCCTTAGATGTTTACACTGAATGTATTTAAAAAATTAAATAATAAGGTTTTTTTAAACAGAAGATGAAAAAGATTTATTTATAACTTTACTATCTAATAGAGCTATTACTTATATAAAACTTTAAGAATATTCCTTAGCTGAAAAAGATTGTGATTAAGCCCTTGAAAATGATCCTAAACATATAAAATCTTATTTAAGGAGGGGTGCAGCTAGAAAGAAACTTTAAAAATTAAAAGCTTCTATATAAGATTTTCAAAAAGTTCTTGAATTAGACTCTTGTAATTCGGAAGGAAAAAGAGAAATTCTAATTGTATAACATTTATTATCAGAAAAAAAGAAAAAAGCCTTACAAGAATTATTACTTGATTATAAAAACGAAAATGGCGGTTAATATATTTAAATTAAAATACTTGATTAAGACAATTGTTCATTTGAAAAAAAAGTGAATAATAAAGAAGTAAACTAAGAAACATAAAAGGAAGATGATAATTATGAAATTATTGGAGACGTTCAAGAATTACATAATAAGTTCTTTTAAAATAAAGATTAAGAGAATAGTGTAACTGAGCTTTCTTTTGCTTATAATTGTCTCAAAAATATAGACGGAAAAATATACAAAAGAAATGAAAATATTAAGTATATAATAAAAATAATAAATATATGAATATATAAATTATAATAAAGTGAAAATCAATAATAGGAAAAAATAAAATAAATGAAAAATTAAAAAAAAAAGTCGCTTTTTCAAATAATAACGAAGAAAAAATTGTGAATGAAATCGATTTAAGAGCTGATTTAAATATATAAAATGTAAAAAAAGAACCCAAAAAAAAACTTTGAAATCCAATACATAATAAAAAATAGAAAAAGCTATTGAATAATGTAAATAAAAATATGAAGACAATATTTCTGAAAATAGTAAGAAAGATATTTAATCTTCATCTTAATTCCTTTAAGAATGGAAAAATATTTAAAATAATACTGATGTTGCTTTTAAATATTTATAAGTAAAATAATATATTAATTTATATATTTATATATATTAAATAATTAAAGTCACTTAATATTGAAAAAATGTCAACTATTTTAATTGAAGGATTAGAAATCTCAGTTATTATTTAAATTATTAATTGCTTTTGGAAAGATTATAATATGTAATTTATTTTTATTATTAATAAAAATATATATTATTAATATATTAAGGAATAAAGGATTTATAGCTAAAAATTATTTAAATTAAATTTCTAAATTAAAACGCTTTAAAATATCTATTATGTGTATGACTAAAAATGAAAAATAAAGTAAATTTTATATTAGATTTAAACTGCATTTTTTTATATAAAAAAATAGGTTTATTATAATTAATTTAAAATTTATTAAATGATGATATAATTGACTAATAATAATATGAAAATTTTAAAATATAATATTTACTCAAATGAAAAAAGAAAATATAAATATATGTTTTTATTGTTTAAAAATAAAATAAAAAAAAAGAAATATAAATTTCTTAATTATAATAAAAAATAAAATATTATTTTAAAAATATACAATAGTGATAAAAATTTCAATATTATAAAAAAAAATATATAAATTGAATGAAATTTATGATAAAGATATTAAAAATATTTATAAGAAAATAATTATATTATATATATATATATATATATATATATATATATATATATATATATATATATATAATAATTGAATAATATTTATTTATTTATATTTGATTATGTTATAAATTACTAATTTAAATACTATAAATAAAAAAATTAACTTTAATTCTTTTATAAAATCTAATGATCTATTTTTAATTAAAAATTTTTTAAATACAAATGTTATTTAAAATGTAATAAATTCTTGAAAGTTTTAATTGAATTAAAAAAATGAAATGATAATTTATAATAATTTTAAATTAAAAATATTTACATATAAAAATGTTAAATAAATAAATAAAAGGTATAATCAAAAATATATAATAAATAAGTAAATATTGCAAATATATAATATATATATATATATATATATATAT